CTTGTGCGGTGGCTCTAAATCGAGCCGTGTAAACGTAGTCCATGCAACTTGTTGCAGCAATTCACAAGCAATCTAGTAAATTACTAGAAATATTGTGTGCTGTATGGTGCATTTTTAGTAATTTACTAGATTGCTTGCGAGTTGCTGCAACAAATTGCATAGTTTGATGCGGGCGTTACTAATCACATTACACAGCCTTTAGATCTATTTCTCAGAGCCATATGGCCATATGGTGAGGATCTTGCCTTTCCGGAGCCATTATCAAGAAAGAAGAAGAAGCATTTAGATCAATTTAGATCATATATCACTTTATACTGCTGGTGTGTGTGTTTGTGCTGTTTTTTATATCTATAAAAAGATTTATATTTTATAATTCACTGACGAAATACGATGGTAGAGGAAATTATTAATCCTAGCAATAAACCGAAAGTAAGAATATTAAGATATATAAATTGTATAGATGGAATAATGTTCATTAACATAAGTTTTCACTTTGTTGCAGAACAAGACAGCTCGACCTCGTCCGGTGTATTTATGGAACGTGTTAGACGTGCAAAAGTGGTTGAGACGACACTGTAGTGACTATTATCAGCTGTATCATGAAAAGTTTTTACATGTGAGTATTTTTTTTATTATGAAATTTATGTTTATATTCTTTGAATACTTTTATCAACATTTGTTTTATTCTGTTTCCTGTAACTATAATACTTTGTGTACTAGAGAAATTTGTAAATATACATCACTTTCTTATTGAAGAAAATGTGTTACATAGTAAACAATGTTTCATGTCTTTTTAAGCATGACATTACAGGAAGAGTATTGTTAAGAATAAACGAAAACATCTTGTTGCGGCTTGGTGTCGATAATGAACAACATAGATTGGACATATGGAGGGAAATTATGAAACTGCATCTCAAAACAGATATGCTAGAAATTAGAGACATAGAACGGCGTAATAATATGAACTTTGACTAAAATATACAAAATTTTTATATACATTTTATAGATATATTTTTATAATCTTATGTTAGTATTTAAAATATATAATGTATTATAGAATTTGAACTATGTATATACTGCGTATTTCAGACCACTCGTACATCCCATTTAAAAACGAGTGAAGTGGTTATTTTAAAAAATGTTTCAGACAAAAGTTATTGGTAATCAAGTAATGCATTACATGGGCATATGCGATTGACCTTGAATGACGTCGTGAAAGTCATGTCAAGGTCAACTTGAATTTTTTAAATGGGAATCCTTACTTTTTATTTCATATTCTTGTAGCTAACGTCAAGGCGTTTTCGAAACACTGGTTACAAACTCTTTTTAGTTGAGATCTTCCTGAGTTATGAGACTTTAAAATTTAAGTACCGCCGGCATTAGTATTACCCAAGATGTACCGCGTGGAGGTCGCACGGTCGGATTTAAAAAATTCAAGTCGACCTTGACATGACCTTCACGACGCCATTCAAGGTCAATCGCATATGCCCATGTAATGCATTACTTGATCACCAACAACTTCTGTTAAAACCATTTTTTTAAATAACCACTTCCCTCGTTTTTAAATGGGGTGTACGAGTGATCTAAAACACCCGGTATAATATGTTTAAAAATTTAATATAAAAAATATTTAATAATTGTTTTGTAATGCAGAGTTTAACATTTAATAACTTACAGTATAAAAAAATGGAATTTGATATTGTACGCATTTATTTTCTAATATAATTTATATATACTTACTACTTTTGTGTGCACAGAATGTATTGACCTCTTCTGAAATTAAGCAGACACAGAGATAATATATTTTAATGATTTATGAGTTTAAAGGTTTTTCAATAAGAAATCTGAAACATGTTTATGTGAGGAAGAATCAATACACTATATGTTTCAATTTTTGGAGAAAATAATTCTATTCTTAAAAAAATATGTAAATGTTTACGAATTATTGTAAGTTAGAAAATAGTATAAAACTGTATATTATAAACTAATATATAAATTATAATATTATGTTAAAAATGCTTCTATAGATTTTTTGCAACTGATACCTTATCATCACAAATATATATACATATGACTTTTAAATTTATTCAACAACTGTTCAGCGCATCTTGTCTCCTCAGAATTAGTACAATTATCCTGCAGAAATATCGAAGCACGAAATTTATTTGAAAATATCTTTTACTTAAAGGTATACTTATATAGAAACATGTTTATGCAACAGAAATGTTTGGATTTTTAAAATATTTATATGAACATTATACAAATTTTCATTCTGACATTAATTTCTTCCTGTATAGTGTAAGAAAACAATGTTATAAAAAATAAGAAAATTTTGAGAATCAAAAAAATTTTTATATTTATTTTTTTTATACATAATTCTTTGTGTATATGTTATGCACACATTTATTTATACATATCCTGATGGAAATATTTTGCTGAAAGTACTATGAAATCAATGAAAAGTAAAATGAAAGTTTTTGAAAAATTACTGAATATATTTCAAAATAAATCATAATTTTTTGTATGAAAATTTAATGTAATACTATGAAATATAAGGAAAGTTAAAATATACTGCTGAAAAGTAATAAAAGAGTTTTGAGATAATTATCATGAAATTTACTGAATTAAACTAAAAACTGTTACTTTTTAATGAAACATTGCTGAAATATTTATGAAATTAATTAATGGGGTAAATTGAGAGAAATTTTCAAATACATTTCAGCAAAATTTCGTTAAATTTTCAGAAAAATATTTTTATTAGGGTACCCGAATCTTCTGCAACATAATTATGAGATTGGATAAATCCGTCTGATGCTGTACATATATGAGACCTAGTTCTTCAATTACAAATGTACTGCTCTATTAGATTCTGTAATTCCCCATACGTTCGTGTTGCACTTTCTATGGCACCAATTTCTAAATACAAACCAGTATTCATATATGTCATCACCTTGAAATAAAGATTATGACATAAGCAAAGCTAAAATTGTAAATTTATTTTATTCCTTTTCTTCTATTATTAATATTATCATTATTAATAAAATTATAAATAATATTAATAAAATCATATTAATAAAATATGCTCCATATTGTCATAACACATATTAGCTAGCATCTACAACTGATTTTCTGTTATCTATTATCTTCTTTAACTATTACTATAAAATATAAATAACTGCTAACCTCTACAGGACTTTTCTTCGTATATTCATCAATATCATATTTTGCAATATTAATTATAGGACAGTCATTTGTACCGACTGTTTGTTCATTACGCATGAATTCAATGTCAAAACATTCTTCTTCTTTGAGATTTGTGGTATGACTGTGATAAAAAGATATACGTATATAAATATGATAAGGATGAAAATTTAGGCTTGCATTAAAATTATACTTATACTATTTCGCTCTCCAGCATAAGAAGAACTCCTCCTTAAATTTGTGGAATATTATATCGCAGCGTATTCCAAGTCTTCTCGCCACACTATGATATATTGTTGCCAGAATTACACTGGTACCAATTTTATGTTTAAAAACCTGTCACAAATTACAATAAAAAATATTTATATTAAGACATAACAAGCAAAGAACTGTGCTGACAACGTTAAGTATTCATAATGTATTATAATTTATAACTTACGCGATCTATGCAAGAGTATTTGAAAATGTTACTCTCACTCGAACAAATGTAACATACAGTTCCACGAAAACGTAATTTATCATATAAAATTTTACAAAGACTCTCTATAATCTGTCTTCCTTCTATGCTATTCCAATGATTATCATCGATATTATTGTTTTCCCAAAAAGAAAGCTGCTCTTCTGATATTGAGCATATTGGATGCGCAGGATATTCAATTCGAAGGCACTCCAATACCTGCTCTGTAATCTTATGCAGTGACGTACTCACATACAAGTAAGACATATATTTCTGGGGTTGATGCACGGGTTGATACCATTGTGCTACAATAAAGACTGCTTTTTCTAAAATCTGTTGTTTTTCAGGATAATTTAGAAATTCGTGCACCTTCTTCTTTAAACGATAATACTGCAGGTATGAAAGAAGATTTATTGCTTGAAGTCTTCGTGTGAAATCAAATTTTCTAAAACATTTTGTATACAATATTTAAAATCTAATATTTTCTTAATTAAATATGCAATAAATGCGTTATAATCTGCTGTTTTAACAATTTGTTAAATCTTACATTAGAGGACCTGTAAGTAAGCTTCTCAGCTCATTTACAAAGAAATAATAATTCATAAAATATGCGCCTTTATCTGGATTAAACAGTGAATGAAAATGCATAAAGTCAACATCAAAATTATCTTGGTAATAGCGTTTGTAATAGTTAGACATCAGCGACAAGTAATACCATAATTCTTTCATACATTGTACACCTGCTTTTACTAGTTCAAGAAAACCTTTATTTTCTAGGCACAGTTGTTCGTCATATTCTTCTCTTAGATGAGGCCATCTAAAATTAAAACAAAAAATACATGTCATTTTCCAAAGTTATATAATTTTACACATTTTACAGTTCCTTTATATAATTTTCCAAAATTATACAAGCCAGATAAAGTTATTGTAACCGAAATGAAAATTTTAAAACATACGTTACTATACATTTCAAATTTTGACTAAAATAAAAAATTATTCAAGGCAAATGAAATAAGATATTTGCTTATCACTAAACTTGCATCCCGAATAAGATAAATTAAGCTTGTTTGCATAAAAACCAATGTGAAAAAATACCTCTCATAAAATTTTTTCTGCCAAAGTTCATTGTTAGTGGTTAATAACTTGTAAAATTTGTTGCATGAGCGAGCTAAACTCATAATATCCTTAAAGCTGATGCTCTTATTGCACAAGATGATAATAATCACATTAATGGGTAAGTCCGTTATTATAGCCATTGCATAGACAGTTCAGCAAAGTACGAAAGAGCCTGAAATTCACAATAACGGCAAATATGTCCGGTATTAAACGTTGTACAACTAATTTCGTATTTACAAACGTGCAAAACATATCACTCAAGGTGCCTTTTTACGTTGACGTTCAATTTCAGTGGTAAACAACACGTGACCAAAAATGACCAACTGCTACAGTAGTTTTGGTCACGTGTTTTCTCACCAGGCCAATGAACTTTATACATAAGCTGCGTTTCCTTTGGATGCTTATGCGCTGTGAGCGCTTACACTTATAAGCGGTAATTTCAAATGTTCTTTTTGGTTTGTGGGTGCTAAAGCGTGAAGTTAACTCTAACGGTCCATATTTTTATAGTTAAAGGTTTACACTGTTTACCAGCTCTATCTATTTTACATGCATTAATTTCACAAAAATATATTAAATAATAAATTCAGTTATTTCATCATTTTTAATTATATAATTTGTTCATAAGACAATAAAATACTTTAAATAATTTGGTTACTACGTTAATTAGATATTTCATATATAACTTGCGGTAATTACATATCGTAACTGCATATATATGACTTTTATTTATTCAACAACTGTTCAGCGCATCTTGTCTCTTCAGAGTTAGTACAATTATCCTGCAGAAATATCGAAGCACAAAATTTATTTGAAAATATCTTTTACTTAAAGGTATACTTATATAGAAACATGTTTATGCAACAGAAATGTTTGGATTTTTAAAAAAATTATATGAACATAATACAAATTTTCATTCTGATATTAATTTCTTCCTGTATAGTGTAAGAAAACAATGTTATAAAAAATAAGAAAATTTTGAGAATTAAAAAAATTGTTTATATTTATTTTTTTATACATAATTCTTTGTGTATATGTTATGCACACATTTATTTATACATACCCTAATGGAAATATTTTGCTGAAAGTACTATGAAATCAATGAAAGTAAAATGAAAGTTTTTGAAAAATTACTGAATATATTTCAAAATAAATCATAATTTTTTGTATGAAAATTTAATGTGTGTAATACTATGAAATATAAGGAAAGTTAAAATATATTGTTGAAAAGTAATAAAAGAGTTTTTGAGATAATTATCATGAAATTTACTGAATTAAACTAAAAACTGTTACTTTTTAATGAAAAATTGCTGAAATATTTATGAAATTAATTAATGGGGTTAATTGAGAGAAATTTTCAAATACATTTCAGCAAAATTTCGTTAAATTTTCAGAAAAATATTTTTATTAGGGTACCCGAATCTTCTGCAACATAACTATGAGATTGGATAAATCCGTCTGATGCTGTACATATATGAGACCTAGTTCTTCAATTATAAGTGTACTGTTCTATTAGATTCTGTAATTCCCCATACGTTCGTGTTGCACTTTCTACGTCACCAATTTCTAAATACAAACCAGTATTCATATATGTCATCACCTTGAAATAAAGATTATGACATAAGCAAAGCTAAAA